GGAGCAAGGTCATATCACAGGCTCACACTCACCTACTAACCCATAGCCAATCGGGGACTGCTTTTATAGAGTCTGAGAGTGTTGTGACACCCGTGCACTAAACAAGAAGACGAGTTAAAATAACAACAATATAATAATACTTCATTTGCCAACAACAAAATTTAATTTAACGGAATTTTAACTCAAGGCGGGTACGGACGCGACTCTATGACCTGCGATCTTTGTTGCTTCGGTCTAATCTGGTCTGGTGCGCCACTGTCCCATAACGGTATACCGACGGGCACCCTCTTCCTGTCAAAACACGCCATCGGACAACTCCTGAAGGGTACCCGTGTCCGATGGCAAGTAGGGGACTCATGACCTTCCGCAGGGGGTGATGACTCTCCTACCAATGCGGCCGCGGGTGCTCCCATTTTGGGGTCCTATGCAAATAGCACCTCGCTAGCAACTGCAGCGCGAGGGTCGGGCAGCCTAGGCCGCCCATTCACAATCAGAATTTTGAAACGAAAACGTTTGTTCCCCCGCAAAATGACCGTCGAGGGAGGAACGAGGAATTCGAAAATCCTTCGGCCCTTCTTTTCAAAGACGCTCATAACTCGATGAGCTAAAGGCTCCCACCGGCCGACTTTTCTTGGGTTTCTTATCAGCTCCTCCAGGCTCTCCACTATAATTAGCAAAAAAAAGAAGAGAAGGAAAACGAGGCACCACAATTTTTCTAGCTTTTCTATTTCTTTTCTTTTTCTGTCCTCAGTCTCTTCTCACTTTGGTTGTGACCGTAACTTGTTGCCCACATCCCATAACTCGACTAGAGAGGGCTCAGCGCGCAGTAGAAAAAACTGCTCTGGTCCCTCTACCTCCACGTCCTTGGGCGAGCCCGGTGGCTACCACGGCCACAGGCTGGTAGTTCTCTGCTGTACAGCAGGGCGCCGAGCAAGTGTGGACCAATGGAAAGTCCAGTGAAGCACCCACCCCTTTTGCCATTGGAGCGCCCGCCGGACTAGTCCAAGGACAAGACCCGCGCAGGACGAGCCTAGTATACTACCATGGCAGTGATCAGGCTGTACCTGGTACGCAGCAGAGGTCTGTAGGCAAGGAGCTGGTATGCTGTGAAGTCTGAGCAAGGAGCCGATACACAGAGGGGCTCATGGACTGGTATCCGGTACACAGCTGAGGGCCCGCCCTCCGACAGCGCGAGGGTGCCGACATGTGCCATCACGCGCGTTTGCGCCGGCGTGTGAGCACGCGCGCCAGCGTACGCGTGAGCGCGAGGGTGCACGCACGAGCAAGTGCATGCGCCAGTGCAGGCCTGTGTGAGTGAGTGCGAATGTGTGTGTGTGAGCATCATCATCATCACAGACACGGTGGTGGGCAGGGTTTGACGGTTTTAGTGGTTTTCTGATTTATATGAAGCTTTAAACTAAGGTATTCATGAAGAGATAAAAAGAGATCCTAAAGTTTTTGTAATAGGTGAAGATATTGGTCATTATGGAGGATCTTATAAAGTGCAGGAAAGATGAGCAATAGCGAACTTCAACAATCAAACAGCATCATACATATGAGACCAGATAGTCATAACCTCGAACCAAAAGCAGAATTGCATCATGAGTTCCACCAAATAAGAACACGCCAAAAGCTCGTAATTGACAGTGCTGGAATAGTCTCATCATCATCATCAACAAAGAACCAATGTTGATATCCTATCTGGCGCTCGGCACCCAGACTACGAATGGCAGATCCTATTTAGCCTAGACTACAATGCCGCTGATGACGTCAACAGCTCCCCGAAGTACGAGCAGATCTCGGCCAATGCCGCACGCTTCAAGCACCAGGTATGTCTCTCGTGTCACTCACAACCTCGTTCCCCAACTCACAGATGCCACTTGCACCCAAGGACCACCATGCGCCCCATCCAGCATACAGCAGCACAGCTCGGCTATGGCTGCCTGCTCCTTCCAGCTCCCCCGTGAGCGTGTGACCCTGGCAGGCGGCGCTTGCACACAAAGCAGCCAGTGCCTGAATGTCCAATGCATGGGCAGGCCCTTCCTTAGATCGAAGTGGCCTGCTGCTGCGTACTGTGCTGCGGTACTGGGCCCCGGCCCAGAAGCTTCCGGTAGGCCCAGGGAGGCTGAGCCTCAGACCGAAGGAAACAGGCCCAGGGCCTGAGGCGGTTACCAGCACCCAACTGCCCTCAGCCTTTGTTCGGTCCACTTTGTGTATCCGGCCCAGGCCTTGCCTCAGTTACATGCAATGAAAGGCAGCCTGGGCCTGGGTGCTTTCAACCGACTGGCGCTGCTCAACTGCCTGAATTTCCCCAGTTGCGTAGTAGTCCAAAATAGGCCTCTTGGGGTCTGTCGAGCCTGCCTTCACTTAGGGCGGGCGACGCTGTTGCAAACAGGGGCCCAATAGGGCTTATCGAGGCCTTGTGCCTCGCAAAAGTAACAAAAGGTCTTTTGAAAAATATGTTAATTTGAGAATACCTTTTTCTTTTTCTTCTTTTTTACCGAGAAAAAAGGTTGAGAAAAACCTGCCAGCATTGGTTACTCTGGCGTCCAGAGGATTGACTGTGCAGGTTGCTGAGAACTGGACACCAAAATACCTGCTACTGAGAAGCTTTTTTGGAAAGTCTCTGGAGAGTGTCTGACCGCATTGCTTACTCTGGGAACCAGAGGATTGACTGAGCAGGGAAAGAGCGCCTGCCAGTGTTGATTACTCTGGTGCTACTAGTGTCAAACCCTTTTCCTGACCAAAATGTACAGAAGGAGCTAAGAAAGGGGGAGTAACAAAGTGCTACGAAAAACTGGTCCTCCCTCCCCCAACCACTAACACCCCCTCTTTTCAAACTTGTCATAACTGCCCGCCTCTTGAAGACACTCTTTCTATTTCTATGTCCATAAGCCTGATGATCTTAGCGGGCCCTTCCTACCCCCAGGGGGCACCCGGGGCAGGCCTTTACACCAATTGCCGAAAACAGTTTTACAGGAATAGCAATTGGTGCTGCTATGCCAGGAGTTAGACCTATTATAGAGGGAATGAATATGGGATTTCTTTTGTTAGCATTTAATCAAATTGCTAATAACGCAGGAATGCTACATTATACTTCAGGAGGGAATTGTACAACTCCTCTTGTAGTGCGCGGTCCTGGAGGAGTAGGAAGACAATTGGGTTCACGTCTTGATCCTGACAGTGTAGCAGGCTTACACGCGGAGAGAGGGGGGGAGTATTCTTCTGATAGGAGATTCTTCATGAGAGGAGGTTTTCATCTTCCTCACGTTTCTGATACTGCCTTGGAAGGGGAAACAACTCTTGCAGGGAGTAGGAGGTTTGGAAGTCCGCCGATGATCAACGAGCAGCTCACGACCGGGTCTATCGATCATCACGTTGGAGGCTCACCTGGCGTGACAAATAAGCAACTGGGGGGCAAGGCATTGTCAGGAGGAACCGCCATGGATTGGTGCAGGCTGTGGAGGTGATAAGAGCACTTCCTTAGTTGAAGGTCTGACATTATGAGTGTTTGCTGGGGGACAAGTAAGCGCGATGATGAGCTTTCTTCAGGAGCACGAGGAGCGGCAACTCAGCGGCAGGGGCACGAGGAGCGGCAGTTCAGCGGCAGGGGCAAGAGGAGCGGCAGTTCAGCGGCAACAGCTAATCTCACCGATGTCTACATCTTCATCAATTACCATCATCATCATTAGCATCAGAGTTGGCTGCGTCTCTTCTATTTTTGTTTTTAGTAGGAACTGGTCCTTCTCTTTTCTACCTCTCTGTCCTTGCTTCCTCTGCGCACTCTGTGTCTCCGCCTTTTCGTATTATCACTCTGCGACACGCCCCTCTCAATTCTTTACCCAGATTTTTTGCATATTTCGCATGAGGATAGTACGAGGATAGCACATAGTTAGGAGAATTGTGGATATAATAGATAGATAGATAATATTCATTGATTATAGATAGAATTTTGGGGTGGGCAAGGACACGGAAGGAGGACCCACTGGTGCCCCCCAGTGGCTCCTTCCAGTATCCGTGCCAGGTCATAAGGTAGGGAAGGGAGGCAGGGGCTGCTAGCTTCTGCAAAGAATCTGGCTTCTGTCAATTGGATGAAGAGGCAGAACCCCCGGGTAGATTGTTCCAATCTTTCTGTGTAACCTACTACGTTTGTGTCTGGGAGACAGACGGCTGTCTTTAAAGATCCGAATCACGAGTAGTATATCAATGATCATGCTATATCAAGCTTACCTTATCTTTTTTGCAATCCTAGGTCACATCTGGTTTCGTTCTGATATAGGATACATGATTTTAGAGATGGTAGAATCCTGGCTGACGCCGGCAAAGCTGGTGTGCTCTGTGCTCTGGGTTTGCCGATGCCAGAACAACGCTGGCCGGTGCTGGGGCGTAGCCCTGTGACCTGTTTGTGGCAGGAGCGTGAGGCCTGGGTGTTTCTTCCCTTTTTCTTTAAGAGAATTAGTGCTAGAAGATACAGTAGGATCTGGCGCCCAAGAAAGGGTGAAGAGGTGCTGGTTCAGTCATTCTTGCTCTTTTCATTATCTGGTTTTTCAAAGTTCTGTCATATGTGAGGGACGCTGGACCCGTTTTCCAGCAGGTGCAGCCCCCACCAATAGATGGAGTGAGAAAACACTAAAAAAAAAAGGGGGTAACTTCAGTAGAGTCACAAAAATGAGATATAATTGCACTATGGGACAAGATACAGTTTGCAGTTGCACTTCGGGCACCCCACCTGGCCAGAAAGCCAGGTTGTATACATTGCCCAAACTGCAATTCGAAACTGTATATTGGCCCATAGTGCAATTACAACTCATTTTTGTGACTCCCGTGTAGTTTCCCTTCCCCCCCCCAACAAAATAAAAACGAAAAAAAGGAGACTGCAATGGCGTTTCTTAAACCACCAGGGTGACATACGAACAGCTCAGACAAAAACTGAGATTGTCACAGACCGGGCGACACACTGGACACTCTCAATTCCTCGATCCCGTGGACTGGGTGCACATTCTTAAAAAAGGACCCACACTAGTAGTTCATAATTTTGTGTAGATTATCTTAGATTAACATCATCATCATCATCATCATCATCATCATCATCATCATCATCATCATCATCATCATCATCAGCAGCAGCAGCAGCAGCAGCAGCAGCAGCAGGAGCAGCAGCAGCAGCAGCAGCAGCAGCAGCAGCAGGAGCAGCAGGAGCAGCAGCAGCAGCAGCAGCAGGAGCAGCAGCAGCAGCAGCAGCAGCAGCAGCAGCAGCAGCAGGCTTATTATCATCAGTATCATCGTCTTACAGACTCTTACTATCAGTAGCATCCGTGACATCATGAGGGATGCTGGGCCCGGTTCCCAGCACGTGCTGTTTTATCATCTCAACATTGTATTTCAGGGGATGCTGGACCCGGTTTCCAGCAGGTGCAACTCCTACCTGTCTTGCAGGGGACTTCCTTGGTGCAAGCTTTGCTGTGGGAGGTTCTCCTCCTGAAGAACATTTTCATGCAGTGGCCTGGGTAGGTCTGGACCTGGTGGAGATGGTGGGACGGCATCGGAGACACCTTCGCACGGAGCAGCAATGGCCATGGGACTGGAAGGCAATTCCGTGTGGTGCCTGGCAGCCAGACGAACCTGAGAAAATCATCCCCTTTGCAAACAATATGTTTGACATCGGGAGGAAGGCGGTGCTCTGGGCCCTCACGTGGAGACGCTGTACCTTTGAAATGGAGGGCGTATGCTTGGTTTGTGCAGGCTATACTGAGCCAGTTAAACAACATGTTCAGACTGAATTACGAGCTTAACAGGAATTAACAAAAGCAAAAAAGTCCTTCTTATACACAAAAGCTGACTGACATTAAAACACAGATTAAAAAACTCTGCAACAACAAGCTGGGGGGGGATCAGGGAGGACAAGGCCACACTAATCAGAGATTAGAGCTCTCCTTCCGCGAGGGGACTATGGTCTTCACCCGAATAGAACGCCCAGTCATTATCGCTGCATTTGTCCCAACTTTCAGTCCAGATGCAGCGATAATGACCGGGCGTTCTATTCGGGCAAAGACGGTAGATGGATGGATCCGTTCAGATGCATCGCTCGTCAGATTTCTGCGACCACTCCCCTCACCCCCTTTCTCACTGGTAGAGCAGCAATGGTACGGGGGGGAACTAAGGCTGTGAAAGAATGGTGCTGTGGGGGGAAGGAAAGGAAAGGAGGAGACTGCTTGTTTTAGTTAGAGCATCAGGTGGCCAACTTGAAGTCAGTATAATGATGATATCTCAAGACAGTTGCCTTTTCAAAGAGAAGAGAAGAACATCAGGCGGCCCCCAACGGGGCTGAAGAGGCAGGCTGGGAGTAGAGGAGTAGCGTCAGCGGAATGAATTTTGAATTGCGGTAATGGTTCAGTAATCGTTCATGAATGTTCATGTTATCCCTAGCCGAAGCCAGGCAATCGCCCCGGTACTGTTTTGTACTCTACTCGTTTGATGAGTTTGACACTGGGCCCGATTCCCAGCATGTGCTGCTCCTTACAAATAGATTGGAACAATATTCTCCACTCTCGGGAAGTACCAGGGTGCCATTTCGTGGCACATCCATCCAGGTAAAATGGGTTGCATGCGAGGTCCGTTTTTTTTTTTTTTTTTTTTTTTTTTTTTTAATGAACAGCCCGAGGTGGTGATAGGGGTGCTGATAGGAGCAGGCACCACTATCACTCTTGGGAAGGCTCTATCTATTGGTGGGGAGCAGCGCCTGCTGGAAACCAGGTCCAGCGTCCCTGAACAACGTGTTTACTTGTTTATACAGACATCTGAATATGGCGACTGGTAGCTGCATGGCCCACCCTCGAAGTAGGAAATTTAGCAAGTGGGGTTACACAACTACTCAGTAGCCTAAGTTGGTCACCTACATGACAGCCTTGATTAGGCGGTAGTAAACCCGAGTTCCGTGGCTGCTATCTCCCTTCAATCATGGAGCCAGGTGCTATCACCAATGAATGAACCCCGATGCATGTAGGCAAACAAACCACCTCCCTTTCCCCTACCCCCACCATTTGGAAGATGAGTTGTTAAACAATGTTAAACAATGGATGGATGTCCAGCAAAACAGCACCCCGGTACTTCCTGAGAGTCGTGGCAACATGCACGCTGCGACTCTGAAAAAATGGCTGGGAAACGTACTGGTGGTTTAACTTACCTTTATGAATTCAGTCCTGAATTGTCTGTTTGGGTGTGGATATCATATGAGAGCTGCTGCACTTAACTGTGAAATGCTCATGACCTTGATCTACCATCCCTTCGCCTTGTGAGGCCACACCTTTTTTCTTCCCTGGGTTGTTTTGAACAGACTGTGCTTTCACCCAGTCACAGTTGGTACATACCTGTGTCATGTGTGGATAAAAATATAATCATAAATTAATAGTAATTCATAGTAATATCATAATGTATACTTGTAACTTGTAAGTTGTAACCTAATCATCCAAAGATGCACAAAAAGAAATGGGAAGAGAAGGGATACAGACAGAAGGGCAGATCTCACTCAGTTACCAAAATATGGTGTGTTATATTCAAATCTCAGATACTATTCTTGTCCATCCAAAATTTTTCATATGTGCTCAGTCGCACTTTCCCAATCAACTCCCCCCCCCCCCCCCCSCCGAGACGGCACTGGAGGCCCCATGCTTTTATGTGAAGGGTGTGAAGGGTATGAAGGGTATGAAGGGTATGAAGGGTATGAAGGGTATGATGCATCTTTGCTAGGTGGTTTGAGGTTGATTGGCACAAAACACCCCATCCAGGGGCATGACAGCAATAGCCACCCCCACAAGAAGAAGGTGGCCCTCTTACACCCACCTGCTATACCACAGCCAGGTTAGAGATGTGCCAGATCTCCTGTGAGCATTCTAGTCCAACCTTCACCTAGCTGTTTGACTTGCTGACATACACCCTCAGCAACTGTTTGATCCATTGGACCATTGGGAGTCCAATTACCCCTGACATGGTTGTCAATGAGAGGCCTAGCTCAATTGGTTAGGCACGCAAGTGTCGTTCAGGAGGTCGTGGATTCCATCCCCATGGCCACCTGTGGCACTCTTGGTGCCAACCAACTGAGATAGTCAGCTGGATCCTCCCAGTCGGTATCAGTAAGGTCTTCAGCCAACGCGGGTGTGAGTGCGCGTGTGAGTGGGTTGCGTGTGGTGTGTGGGAGAGTGTTGGCTTTAGACACTACTGTTACTCTATGGGGGTTGGGGAAGATGAAAAGGGAGGCACAGTTACTTGCAAATGCTTGGTCCTTCTGTTAGCTGGGGCCCCACCGGTAGCCCCAACCCCGCACCCTAAATGCTAGGGCAAAGGGGCAAACCTCTCCACCGACAGAGGTAACCTCCCTTCACCGAAGATAGGTAGAAAGCTATGCTTGCAGGCGTCCCCTGCATAGCCTTAGGAGTACTGGTAGGTAGGTAGTGAAAGAAAGATATGTTCCATGACATGGCACAACACCAGTTGTTGTTGTTGTTGTTGTTGTTTTGAGATGAAACGAGGGACAAAGCCCTTTAAGAAACTCAATTTTACGAATTCAATTAAGAACAGGCCCAAGTGACGTTGACTGGTGACACAGCCCACAGGTCTCTCTCTCTCTCTCTCTCTCTCTCTCTCTCTCTCTCTCTCTCTCTCTCTCTCTCTCTCTCTCCCCGACTGCGTTGATCGGTACCGGTTATGGACAGCAACTATACTTCATCATTTTACCGCCGCAAAAATCCATGCCAGGAACGAAACAAAAAACGCCAATTTAAAACTCGCCCGCAGGGGGAGCCCCAGGAGCGGGAGGAGCGCCACCACCAAACCCACCACCACCACCACCACCATGGCAAATCAGGCCTGTACTCTCCTGGAGCACCACCCTTGTCGCCGAAACCACCAGGACCCCTGGGGGGACCAGATGCACGGTACCCCTCTCTATCTCCGAAGGACGGGCGATCTCCTCCGCCAAGTCTGGGAGGGCCTCTTGGGAGGGCCTCTTGGAGGGCGGTCTCCACCGGGACCGCCGCGAGGACGTGTCGGCGGCCTTGCAGACTTCTTCAATGTAGCAGGAACAATCTCTGATGGCAGATTCAAGTACGTCCGAAGGAACTCGATTCCATCGTTTGTCAAGTACCAGTAATAGTGGCGCCATGCAAAGGTCTCCTTCACGTAGTCCTTCGACTTGAAGCTCTGCATCAGCTTAATGACCTGCAGATTTGGGACATCGATTTCCGTCAGCTCAATGACCTGCAGATTTGGGACATCGATTTCCGGGTGCTTCGGCGCATTAAAGTCTTTCTTGGCATAAAGTACCCCCTCTTTGAAGAGGTACTTGTACACCTCCGTGCGGTTCTTCTTTGGAATCAACATGGTTGCTGTATTCTTGCCTTCAAAGACTGGACAATCATAGAACCCTCATTCCCCCTACGTCCCCCATCGGATTTCCCAGACCCATTCCCTCCCCACAACCTTTCCCTGGCAGAAATCCTGTCCTAATGATCCTTTGCAGGTTCCTGATTACATATACACATAAGAAGTACATATACATGTACAACTACACAACTAAACAGAGTTCCTCCCTAGTGCCCCCTGGGGAGGACTCCGCTAATACTATACTTCCTTTCTTCTCTTCACTACCTGCAGTCACTGGTCCCGGTCCTGGAAGGGCCAAAAGAGAGATGAAGGGAGCAGGTTAGGGGTAGGAAAGGGAGGAACTAGTGGACAGTGAAACATTGGGCGCCTGTTTCAGGGTGAAGAGGTTCCCCTTTCTCACCCTCTCACATCCTGCTCAGTCAATCCCCTGATTCCAGGGTAATCAATGCTGGCAGCGATACCCCACAATTGTCTGCTTGATGTATTCAATTCCAGACTGTAAAAGGGACGCTGGACCCGCTTTCCAGCAGGTGACGCTCCCCACCAATAGATGGAGCCCCCCCTAGGTGTTAGTGGCATCTGCTCTTATCAGCACCACTAACACTGGAAGGGGTTGGTTTTTCAAAAAAAAAAAAAAAACAAAAAAAAAAACGCTATTCACCGACGAGCGTGGTCTATGGCGACTAACCCTGATGGTGGGAAGAGGACGTCGTCCAGTGACCGGACCCCTCTTGTAGGCCGGGGTTAAAACTATTCTTGTAGGCCGGGGTTAAAACTATGTGAGGTGAGAGAAAAAACATATAGAAATGGATTATAAATGAGACAACTGAGCCTGTCACCGCTGCACAGTTCAGAATTCGCATAAATAACAGTCCACGGCAAGATTGGGCCGTGAGCAGTTCGAAACAGCAAAAAAAACAGTGAACTGCGCGTTAGCCCGCCTATTGGTTCAATAATCGGCAAAACCGGGAGGTGGCCTGGCCTAGCAGGCCCTCCCGGTTTTTTTTGTTTTTGTTTTTTTCGTTTTTGGCTTCTGGCGGGAATGGGTTTGGGCAGGAAAAGCCGCGGACCGCCCGTTAACACCCGCCCCACTCTCTCTCTCTCTCTCTCTCTCTCTTGGCCTCCCACTCCCTCTCCGGCTCGCGCTCTCTCTGCTGCCTGCTCGACCGCCTACTCCAACTGCCCGCCCACTCCCTCTCCAGATCGCGCTCTCTCTGCTGCCCGCTCGACCGCCTACTCCAGCTGCCCGCTGGCCCGCCTACTCCAGCTGTCTGTCTCTGTCTCTCTCTCTCTCTCACACACACACACACACACACACAAACGAAAAAAAAAAAAAGGTGGCAGTGTATATTTCCATTTTATATGGGCTGAGCAAAATGGGAATGAATCTTGGCCGAGAATGGAAATATACACTGCCACTTTTTTCTTTTTTTTTGTTTGTGTGTGTGTGTGTGTGTGTGTGTGTGTGTGTGTGTGTGTGTGAGAGAGAGAGAGAGAGAGAGAGAGAGAGAGAGA